GACTATTAGTTTTTTAAATATCTGCCAACATTCCAGCAGACATCGTTTGGGAAGCATTTTGAGGTTTTATCATCACAGGACTAGAACACAACAATACTTGTATTTTCTGAGAGACAAACTATGGAAATCTTAAGTACCTAAGAGAAATCTGAAAGACCTGTAGACACTTTGGCACTGTAGATAGAAAAAAAATCTTGAGAAAGTAGGAAAAGCAACTTGGTCACAACAATAGTGAGAGGAAATAAAGGCAGCAGTATGACACAGAACAGGAGACAAGGCAGGAAACGAGCGTATAAGAAGTGAGGATGTGCATTTCTATCCTGTGAAAGGACAGAACTACTAAAAGGAGACAGGATGGAACATTTAAAGCAGCAGCAAGGTTTGAGGGTTTTGAGGGTTTTCCCCCCACCCTCTTTCTTTTTGTTTCCTGACTGAAACGAGATCATGACACACACAGAAAGTATGGATGATAAAACGCACTTGCACTTCAACGCTTAAATCTTCAGTAGAAGAGCATAATACTACTAATGCTTGCAAGCCATCATGCCCTGAAAGCAGAGGTACAGATCCACTTACACTGCTTTTTCCCCCACTCTTTCTCTCCCCAAATGTTGTCTCTGAGCTTACAGAAATGGCTCTTTTTTTAACCAAAAAGAAAAGAAAAAAAAAAAGACAAAAAAAGACTGGCCAGCAGTTTACCTTCAGGTATTTCAGCTTTTGTGCAAGAAACAGCCCTGCAAGCAATTCTATGGAACACAATACTTTAGATCTCCTTCACCTTTTTTATTTTGTAAATACAAATATAAGACCTAGAAATCTCATTTCAAATAGGCCTGTATTTTGCTATCTTTTCCTACATTACAGGAATCTGCAGCTCCGTACTTAGTCAAAAAGATGAACCGGAAACAAACATTCTGTCATCTCTGCAGTATTTGCTAGAGAGATTTTTAAAGAATCAACTACACATTTTACGTTAGTTTTCTGCCACTGAAACAGAGCCAGAACTTATTCTTCAGTTTAGGAGCTCGAAATCCACTGTGTCCTGGAAAGCTCTGAACAGTCTGCTTGTCTTCAAGCCAATCATGCCACAAAGCACTACAATGGGCAAAGCAACTACATTTACACACAAAATTGCTGTGTGGTTGCATATTGGACCCAGGGGAGACTACAAAACCAGCTATAAAATTCCAGGACAATACCACATATGAAGATTGTTCTGTTACCCTACATGAGAACTACAGTGAATCAAAAATGCCTTTAACTAAGATTTACTGCAAGCAACATACCCTGTGCATGTGTAATGTAAAACCTTAAAGTAAGAACTGGTCAGAGTTACTTTTTTTACTTACAAAATGTAATGTGTGATCTTAACTCACAGGAACAAACTTCATATTATTAGATTATTTTAAACCCTCTCCTTACTGAAATGTCTTAGAATAGCAGTCAGACCTGTTTAAAAATCTTTCAGAAGTACGATAGAGGCTTTTTTTTCTTCCCCTGTTAAGTTTCAAGAGACCTTTTGGACTAAACAAAGCAACAAGTCTCAAGTTTCATTGTCCTTTGCAGCCATCAGAACACCCATGCAAGTCGTTATGAGGAGTCCTTTAATCTCAAATTGTTTCTACTGATAGTACCAGATACAAACGAGAATTAATTAGTATTATATTACAGTAAAAATTCATTAATTCTCTCTCATTTCATTTTATCCAAATGAAAGCTTTTTGTTGCACGCTACCTGAAGAGAGTTCAAATGCAGTCCAGACAGCTCCAGGGGAGCACACTATGCAGTTAAAATAGTAATCACTGCAATAACAACTTCTACATAGCGCATCAACTTAGGGTGTGATAAAACATGATTTCCCCTGGCTCTTGGCACAAGGCTGCAAAGGTATGGCTCCGGTATTGTCCACAAGAGGAGTGGAGGAGATATGAATGGGATGTAGTATCCCTGGAAAGGCAAACAATTCAAGCTACCACATACACTGTGGGGTAGAAAAGACTAACAGATGCAATAAGGGAAGCTGCAGCATCACTTGTGGCACAGAAGAAATGCAATCAATTTAGGAAGTCATTATTTTGTTATCTTGTCTCCTAATCAAAGTTGAGACTCCTGCTGCATATTTTGGACAAGCAACCACCTGCAAAACTTCACTAGCTTTTAAGCTACACGTGCAGGATTGTAATCAAAATGTCTGACAGTATGTTTCTGAACAATATCTAAATTTTCAAGCCTCTAGAGTCAGAAGAGAAACAGTATACATGTCCCTTGGTTATCCCAATCAGCTAAGAAAATACAGCCATGCCTATCTAAAAATTTCCTCCTTAATAAGGTCTAAAGAACCATTAGATTAGATACTATACTAGGTTTCAACTTCAGGAATAGTTAAGCCCAGAAAGAATGAAGAATACTACTCTGGTCCAGAACAGTCCCTCCAAACAAATAAATCTATAACCAAACAAATATACAACTACTTTCTTAACCGTAAATGGCTTTATAACTATTGAGGAAGAATTAACTTCTCTCTTATGGCAGAAAAACTGAAGTTCCTTCTAAGTAGACAAATCTACAATCTTTTAACGCGCATTTTCATCTCCATGCCAAAGACTTCCATTTTGGAAGGGACCCAGATCTGCAGGAATTTTATTTGAACACAGACATGTTTTCAGATAAAAACAAATAAGTTGCTATTCTTCATCAAACAACGTGCCTACAGATCTGTGCCAATGGAGTTTTCATTAGGGCTTACCTTCAGGAAAACAACAGGATTACCCTAAAGGGCGGGCAGGGCAGTAAGAACAATATGAACACTACAGCGCTCTCTATTCACAGGGCATTTAAACAGCATAAAGGCATTTCTTCCCTCCAGCGGAATATCAGCATGGCAAATGTGGATATGACAAGAGTTACCAAAGCAGGAGTTCCTCAGTCTTGAAACTGTCAATAGTCATAAGGCACTTTTAAGACAATAATATTTGACTGAAGAACAACTGTTTAATCTGCTTTGGCGAAGTGTGGCATATAAATTTCTGAATAAAAGAAGCAATCCTGAGTCTCGGCGTAAACTCTAATTGAAAACTTGCCTAGTTAATCAGTCTCGGCGTAAACTCTAATTGAAAACCTGCCTATAGTAGTTATCAGGAAAGTGGGGAACAATACCAAGTGCTATTTCAAAGTCTGATTGATTCCTTAACTCAAAGTAAAGCTGACTCCTCTGCAATTTTATTTTATTCCCTGTACCAGATCAGAAGTGGAATGCCATCAGTTTTATTCTGATATATCTCGGTGGAGTTAATCATCATAAGAGGCCTTTCATGCTCGGATGCATACAAACAATTTTACGTACCATTATCAGATGTTCAAGAACAGACTCAATCTTCTTCCATTTGTACACCTTTCTACATTTACATTAAGGCAGATGAATACAACTTTATACTCTCTTCAGATAAGAAACATGGATCTTGCACTAAATGGAAGTGTTCCGTTTTGTGACTTATCTTCAGCAACCAGAAACTCGATGATTATTTCACTATTTAAATAACCTCATTATTTTGTCATTTAAGTAATCCAAATCTATTGATTCTGGACCTGTATTTTGTAATTGGCAGAATCCCATGAGTTTGAAAAACTAGGTCTAATCACAGATTAGTCTGTCTCGAAAGATACAAACCGTTCAGACAAAAATCACAAATACAATGATCAGTGTTCTATCTTTCCTATCTTCTGTATGGTCCGAATGGAGCAGCGAAGGAGCAGGAAGGGCAAAGCACAGAGCACCAGTCATTCAGGAAAGAAGTTGGGTGTTTTGCAACACCCACAATGCCGGGAAACAAATGCCTTCAAACCCATACTTCCAAACGCAGAGGTCAACCACCAATTCTCTAAAAATCACTTGAAAATGAAGGTGTTCCTGGATTTCTTAATCCAACTTTATCTTTCTACCCTGATGAGTAACATATGGACAGACAGGATATCCTGCACTTTAAAGACAAATCTGATTTCCTTTCTGATACAGACTTGACACGTAGCAGATGTCTGATCATAGTCGAAAACAAGTGTTTCCTCAAGACAATCTCAAACCTCAACTCTCCCTGGTTGTCTACAGCCTAAAGTACACCTTAAATATTTCTGCCATAGCAAAGGTAATTCATCAGAAGAGCAATGATCACCACACTTTGAGCATGATAGTGTCACTTAACACAGCAGTTACAGATCAATTGACCTCAGAAGTTAACTGCAACTCTTAAGGTGCACAGTTACAGACAGTCTGATCCATTCTTTTGGCAATCCTCTGACCACACAGTAAATCATTCCAACTTGCCAAACCAGAGAAATAACAACTTAATCACAAAAGAGCTTTTTATTGGGTTGTCAAGTTGACATTGTCTACTATGCAGTTAAACTATCACAAGAACGAAGAATAACCAAAGGACACAGGACTACTCAGTTGGAGACTGAGTAAGAGAGGAAGAGGAAATTGCCTCAGCTGTGTCATGAAACTACACCCTTGCTGGACGTCGGGCATTAAGAAATTGCACCAGAAGATCCTTGCATTTGGCTCCAAGCATTTCCACACTAAACTATGTTCCCGTTCTGCTGCACATAATCAATTTGTCTCAGCCCATAGGGAGTTGTTCCACTAATATTCACCTTTAGGGTTTCATGTACTACGAAGTACTTCATAGTAATTTCTTGACCAGAACAAATCCGAAGACATGCACTTCTACTTCATAGTTATGTTGCTAAAATTATGAAATTACAAATGGAGCTAAAGAAGCCTATTGCCTTGGTACTTGCAGGCCTTGGTTGTTAACACTCCCAACCCCCTTTAACAATACAAAGGCAGGAAACTACAAAGAATTTAAGGTTCAGGACTACTGCTCACTGCAGTGGAAAATGACTGCTTTCATCACTGACAGCAAAACCAACTCCTCCCTAAACCTTTGAAAGGAAGCTCCAATACGCAGCTGAGGGATACAAACTGTATGTATTTGGTTCATACCTGCAGCTACGCACGTCCCTCTAGCCGTTCCAGTCTTCACTCTAAAAAATAAGGAAAAAACAGACATTGAATACTCCAGAGTTAAAATCAAATAATGACAATCATTACAACATGAACTCCATCTTGTAGAACACCGAGGACTGTGAAAGTAAAGCATATTTCTAATAACAGAAGTCATCAGGAGGTGCTAACAACCCTCGTTAGAATCAAAAATGACATTGCACATTTAAAAAAAATACAGAAAATAAATGAAAAGGTGAAAAAAAAAAAAAAAGGACTGCAAACACAACATGGCTGAAAACAGAAGTCTTGTACCTTCCTAACAACACTCAGTGGAATTATCCTACCTGTCTGGTGTTTTGGCTCTCATGACAGAAAAAGTTACCAACAGCAGTACCCACAATCCGAAACTCCTATATTACATTATTTTGACAGCAAGATATCATAGATGGAAGTGTATGAAAAAGCTCTGAACTAGGGAACACAAAGAACTAACAACACAAGGAAAAAATGTTATTTCTACATCTTAAGCAAATCATCAACCAGGAACCACACAGACGTTCTGTACCAGCATCTCATAAGTAGGGGATGCTACTCTGTGATTCAAGGTTCTCTTTTTGCAAATTCAGTAACTGACTCCCAACACAAGCTAGCACATATTTAAATACAAACTTTGGGCTAAAAAAAAAAATAATTAATAAATTCTTCTCTGCTTCCTCCTAGGTTATTTGAACTACACTCATGGTACTCTAGCAGTATGTTACAGAAAATCCTAATGTGTTTACTTATCTATAGCTACCAACCCAAAAACTGCCTCCATGTGCAAGGAGACGAGTTACACAAGGCTATTTTGAGTTCCCACATTTTCACTGCTTTGCAGGCCCCTTCATAACCTTTGTTCTGTATTCTTTGATCGGTATCCTCTTCTAACCTGTCTTGCAATATACTTGGATATTTATCATGTGTACTCCTGCCCTCTTTTCCAGAGGAAGATCTCTTGAGAATTTTTTATCCTTATTTTGTAGTAATTTTCAATTGTTCTGATTTCTTCGGAACGTATTCAATTGATTTAATAAAATATTATACCCTCTAAAGGAACACAGAATCCTAAACACAACTACAAAAAATAATTTGCTTATAATGCTAATTAAGAACAATAAAAATCAAGCCATGAATCCAGAGAAATAAAACTAAGTTATCTGAAATGTGTATTTTCAAGATTATGAATTTATATTTTCTAGATTATTGAAAACTGACTATTGGTAAGGGAACGTTCTGGATTATGAAGCTCTTATTAGTGATTCAGGCAAATATGTAACCTGAGGACACCTCCTTCCACCTCACCCACATTCCTTTGCTTTTTTGAAGTTTAATTAAAGAATATTTGTTTATGACCAAAAAAAATGGTCTCGGGTTCCTGCTAACAGAGCTGGCTTCAAAACATCATGTAAAACAAAATATTTGTTTTCTTCTTTTTAAACCCAATCTTTGCCAGACACTTAAGTTTTATGGAAGCTGTCGTAAATGCTAAGTTATATTTCTGTGATAATCAGCTTTCAGAAAAAAAAATTTATATACACAGCTCATTGATCTTGCAAATGCTTAAGAATATACTGGTAAACAACTTTGAATGTTAAAAATAAATTCTTCCCTTCACACATGTAACTATGTAACTGTCTAGAGAATTAATCTAAAAACTTCAAAGGAACCAGAAGTACAACTAACATAGCCAGAGGAACCCATAACTCTTGGATACCTTCGGGAAAAAATATATACCTCACTGAATCAAAGGCAAAATGCAAGACACTAAAATCTTTAGAAAGCAAGCAGCAAATCTGACAACCACCTGTAGAAAGCCTGCGAGTATGCTCTTAAATTATAAATGTTTCTCAAACCAAAATTGTTTTAGTATGGTTCATTTAATTGCATGCAGAATACAAATACAGTGAATACTTCATCCAAGTTTATACATCAGACAAACCTATGACACCACCTGACAATTCCACATAAAAAAAATGAGAGTTTAACACTTAGATTTAACACTTAGCCCTGCCAGATCTAAGAGTAACAGAATACACTCTCACTGATGAACCAACAGTTTTAACTTCTGGTATGCAATATAATATAAATAGAACTGCAGCTGGTAATGAAAACGAGTGGCTCTAGCCACTAAGTACTAGATAATGGATCTCAGCCCAATAAATCTAATGATACTGCTCTGACACTTAGTGGCAAAACTTCAGTCTCACTAGCACCAGGACCATCTGTAAGAGAACGCTGGATCATTTAATGGGTTCTGATCAATGAAATTACTGCCAGAGTCAGCACTTGTCTAGACCAGTTAGTTCTGATTTCCTATTACACTTTGCAGCAATTAATGTTTATGGGATGTCAAGACTACCATTGACAATTAAAGAGGCTAACAGGTAAAACAGACCACATAGCTCAACCTCAGATATATCCTGGCATCAGTCTCTCACAAAAAACCTACATTCAGTCTGGACTCACTGCAGATTTACATACTTTTAAGTACCAATATGGCCCATAATAAAAACTTGGAAATATAAAAATAACTATTTCTCTAGAGGAAGTGCAAGAGGGAGATAATGATGCATCAGAGAGTGAAGAAGCAAGTGCACTAGATAAATCAGATTACGAATAGAGAGGCCTACACAAATCAGATGAAGTTCAATTACTGTACAGCTTCGGTCACAACCCACAGAAAGAATGTCACTTTCTAGTAAACATTACTTATGAGACAGCAAGACAACAGAGGTAGCGATGAGAAACTCCTATAGTGCCAACACCTTACCAAGGAAACAGCTATACTTTCTTATCTGAGAAATGCCCTTCTACTGTAATCTTTACACCACCAAAACCTCTCAGCACCAGAAGCTACTTGCTCAATGCAAGGCAACAGCTCCTCGTCACTGCGCCTGCCCACTATTTTTGCAGAGCTGTCAAATACTGTTTTTCTCATTGTTGCCAGCACAAGTACTAATGTGCACATAGGTTCGCAGACAATCTGCACAGTTAGTAAGTAGACCAGCTGAATTACTCATGACAATATGTTCGACTATCAGAATGTAAGTTTGTTCAACTTAAGATATAATAGGAAGAAAAATGAAGAATAAGAGAGGTGTACGTTTTGGGACCACTGCAGATAAAGACAAAAGAAGAGAGAGGAAAACATTTTAAATGCTATGCTTCAAGTTACTATAATCAGAACATCATTAAATTCTTAAGATTTGGGATGCAGATCATAGCTGCAATGTGTGTTCCATGCCCAGTCAGCAATTACATTTTAAACATTCCCAAGATTGATCCATTAGTCTTACAACCCATAATGAAAGTGCCAAGAGACACACTCTGAGAATGCAAAACAATCCTATGGTCTACTGTTGAAAACATGAGACTGGGACTTAGGAGACATGAGTTCTATTACTATTGGACTGAATAGCTTTGGACAAGTCACTACATGGTCATAAGAGCTTCCATTTGTACAGTATTGTCATCATATTTGTTTTCTTTGTGAAAAGATATTTTGAGAACTAGTGACAGAATGTATTCAACAGGAGTCAGAGAGTATCATCACATTGTTACAGCTGCATCTCAGCTAAAAACCTAGTAAACGACTTTAAAAAAAAAGTTTCCACAAAACATTTGTCTGTTAATAAAAACCAAAGAATGTCACCAACAAAAGGTTTAAGCTTGCTATATCCTTCCAGATTATGGCATTCAGGGACTCTCAAAATATTTCAAGAGTTGCAAATACAGAATGTACACACCAATGCAACATTTTATTTACTTTTTAAATGAGGATCCAAAATATTCAGAAAACACACACTCATGTTTTGCTTCACAGCTACTGTACACACCACAAGATGATCTATCAAATGTAGCATAGGTTTTTATGTCTTCTTTTGGGCAAAAGATTGAGATGTAGCAAACAGAAACAATATTCTCAGTTTAATCACTAAACCTACTTCTAAAAGCAACCACCCTAGCTGAACTTTAACAACCTCATCTATCTCAGCCACACGATTCAAACACTAACACTTTCACTTACCTACCACTAAAGGTGAGATAAAAAAATCTCAATGAGAAAACCAACCCTGTGCAGTGTTTAGACAGACACTGCATGCATAGCTCTGCATTAAAATAAGTCTTTTATAATGATATCAAGGTATTCACACACTTCTTTCTTTTGATTTGCACAAAAGAGAATAAATTCAAATCCAAATAGAGAAGAAAGATGTATTGCAGGTCTCCCCACAAAGATCCTCAAATGCAGTCGATATTCTGTACTATCAAACCTAAAATACTAAAAGAGGACACAGTGCGTATGACCATTTCCAGCACGTACTGCCAGCCTCAGACGGAAAATAATTTTGAGATGTCCCAATTTTGAAAGATCAGAATCGAACTGGATACAAAATTCTGAGTAGGCTTGAAATTCTCTATTTGCAAAATGTTTAAGTATAAACATTTCTATTTTACTTCAAAGAAGCACAACTAAGAAAGACTGATTTACCTTAAGCTTGTATGTGTCTCTTGCTTGGCTTACACTAGACAAATACTTGCCATGAACTCTACCGTGCAGAATCTGCCATTGCCACGCCTGCAAACCAAAGAGTAAAAATATGCTCTGTTATTATTATTTTTTTTTGCAATAGGCACGTGCAAAAAATCCTTTGCAGAAGTAAAGATACGTCTCAAATTACACTCATTTACATCTGCAAAGAACTGGAGTCAGTGCTCTATTTTAAGGAAAGAATGTTGATTCAAATCACTTTCAACAGCAAATAAATTTCATTAGCACTTCAAGAGATTTAATATTGGGTGTGTAGAGCTGAAGCTTTAAAAAATATTTCATACTATTTCTTTTTCTTCGTCAGAGGCAAACACTGGCGTTGCTGTGGGAACGTTAACTCAGGAATGTCCTGACTTTTGTTCAAAAACCCAAATGAAATAAAATCTAACCATTTCCCTGGAAAGTTCTTCCTAAGCTTCTACTCAAGTTCTCTAAAGGTTTCTCATT